ATCCAACCCGAATATATCACACCAAAGTACCAAACCCCTATTACTACATACTACCTCCACCCCTAGTATGGTACAAATGATCACCTCGCTTAGTGCATTAAATGCACAATAGAGATCTGCTGCGCCAAATCTAGCTCTCTCCAATATGGATTCATAGCACTCTACCGTCGGACGGTCACATCCCATCAACTCCCATCACAATAATGACCCCCTACTAATACCTACTCCCACGCCATTACCCCGACTCCACTATATGTCCACTACTTCCAATCTCTCAACTCCACAACCCAAAGAAAAACTCTCACAAACACCTACACTCAATAATGCATCGATTACCACTTAGAAACAACGCAAGTTCGCTAACTTTGGAAAATACCTTGACTTTCACCTAACAAATCACTTCCCCAAAGGTAAGGATTACCAATTCATTATCGATAAAATGAACAATAAGCTCTCCTGTTGGAAAGTAAAAACTTTCAACATGGCAGGAAGAACTACCCTACTACACTCAGTCTTGGCCACCATTCCTAACTACTCCATACAAAATAATTTATTACCAACCTCCACTAGGAATCACATAGACCACATCCAACGAAATTTTCTTTGGGGATCAAACCCGGGAAAAGAATAAGTCTGCTTTGCCCACTGGGAGATTGTAACCACTTCTAAATCACTAAGAGGGCTAGGACTATATAAAACTGCTCATAAAAATCATGCTATACTAGCAGAGCTAATTTGGCATTTCCGTAGGAGTGCAAACTCATTATGGGTCAAATACTTCGTGCAAAATATGTTTAGCATAGCCAAGCTCGGACATACCAGGCCAAGTCATCTGATTCATACATATGGAAAAGTATAACCAAAGTCACTGACCTCTTCCAAGTGAGAATCTCTTGGAGCATAAGGGATGGAACAAACATCAACCTCTGGAATGACAATTGGCTTCCGAATAATGGACGTATGCGCCACATGATCCAGGCCCAAATATAGTGGAAGACATAAATCACATCTTCTTTTCACACAAACACTCCTGCCACTTATGGTCTTTGTTCAACTTACGCATGCCTCAACCACATAACTTTGCCAACTGGATGAAATAAAGGTACAACAAAGACACTACCATCCACACACCAAATACCTCCCTTAAAACCCCATACTCCACCCTACTACCGTTCATCCTCTGGAACATATGGATTAATAGGAACTCAAACCTCTTCAACAATACTTCAACCACTACATGCCAAAAAAAAAATCCTGCTACAAGTAGCAGAATTTCTATCACTCACTCACACTATAACAACCTCAAAACCCAGGCAACAAATCCTAGTAACGTGGCTACCACCACCCACGAGTCATTACAAAATAAACGTCGATGGAGCTTATGACCCAAATTCCTAAACAGTGGTACTGGGGGAATCATTAGAGACCACGGTGGTTCACAGATCGTGGATTTTGCGCAGAAACTGACTGCAACTTCCGCCCTACACGTTGAGATGCTCGCACTACTAGCCGGACTGGAACTCTCCTTCACAAAAAATCTCTTTCCAATTATTGTGAAAACAGATTCGCAATTATTATGTAATTTATTTAAGGTTAAACATCATCGATTCTCACATCTTCTTAATGATTGCAGTTTTCTTCTTGATGTTGTTAGATCAGAGGCTATAACCCATATATATATAGGCAAGGCAACTATGTGGCTGACGCTCTAGCAAAGTACGAACGTTCCATCCAATCATCAGCAATGGAGGAAGACAACATAATCTACTGGAAAATTCCTCCGTATTTTGTTTTAAATGCTTTTAATAAAGATAGATTGGGGACAATCGCAATGCCATCTACCCCTATGTTATGTAATAATTAGACTCCTTCAATTTTAATACAGAGTATTCTTTTCTTTAGAAAAAAAATATGTTCAATACCCGTGTAGGCTGTCAGGTGCCTAGGCTAGTAGAAAATTTTATTGAAGGTGATTATTTAATGGTTTATATTCTTTTCAAGTTTAAGATACTGATAAGCTAAAACTAAACAGGGATATATAATATACGTATAATTTATTTATAGTATATATATAATTATAATTAATATCGAATTTAGATACTGATTAAATAAAGTAAATAATAAATTCGACTATATGCATAAGATCCACTCCGATGTGCAGTAATTTCTAAGAGCTGGCAACTTTTTAACCTTCTAAAGCCAATAATGTCATAAGATGGCCCAAATGTTTGGACTGTCACAATTTAACTCCTATTATCCACAATATTTGGAGTTTTTTATTGGTAAGTCCCAAAGTTTGTGCGTATTGTTAAATATTATTTCATTAAACTAGTAGAAAAAAATTTCAATTGTATTTTTGTGGCGAATGTTTTAATAACTCATGCACACTTAGCATTTGTACATGGATACAATTAAAAGAATTTTTTCCTAAATGGAATCACTATTAGGTAAACTGGTAAAGCTACAAATTTTTGCTAAAGAAACCCTAATTAAGTTACAAAGGATATGTTTTGTAGGAGGGATGCTATTTTTTAGAAAATTATTTTCTGTAAGGAAATCATTTGCTAGTTTTTGATATGATAGAAGTTATTTTTCTAGTAAAAGTTATCCATCAAAAGGGAAAAATGACTACCCTCACATAAGAGTGAAAATCATTTTCATTACCAGCCAAACACCGAAAAAATATTTTCCATAAAATAATAATTCTCTTCAAACCAAAGACATATTAAGTACTTTTACATTTTATTCAGTCTTTCGAAACCCGTTTTCCAAATAGGGTCTTGAGGAAAAACTTGCAATTAAAAAAATCAACAAAGCCAACAAAATGAAAAAAAGAAAAGAAAAAGATTAATAATTTGTTATTTTCAACTTTTTGAAATTTGGGGACACACTTTCTTGTGCAAATGCAAAACCAACACGATTATGACAGTGAAACTTGGGGCTTAACATAATTAAAAACTTTAAATGTATAGAAAGTAGAACCAAAAAAGATTAAAAAGGTTAATCTACCAACTAATCAGTGGACAGGCAGCAAGAAATCTTGGAATAAAATACAAAAAAACAAAGAGGGCTTATCCAATGGGGACTTCCACTTTCTAGGGTTGCGTCTATAGCACTTTCTCTGCGCATGGTTGTAATTAATTTAATTAATTTTGGTTACTATAATGTTTAAATTTTACTATTGGGGTAGGAAGATGGAAAACCTAAAAAGGAAAGGTTTAGCAAGAATGAAACTCTCCACCTTTAAGAATAAGTTAACAAATTTTTACGCTTCAGATCTTTAGTAGCTCATTTCTGGAGTTTTTCTGCGTTTTGCACCTTTCTCTTTTATATTTTGCATTACGTTTTAATATCATTATTTCTTTGCAAACCATAGAAGAAATCCTTTCCATAATTTATAAGGGAAAAATAGGCATAATTCAAACTCTTTCTACCTTCAAATATCAAGTGCTTTTTCTTTCTTTATTTATAGGTCATCGCCTTAAATCTAATTAATTTCATATACACACATATGGGAAATACTGCAAATGAGTATCTACAATTCTACACAGCGTGCGACACGTATAATGAATTTTAGGAAAATAATACAAATTCTACTATTCCTTTTTTTTTTCCCCCTCATAAATTGGGGAAATTGCTTTTATCGTTTTGCAAAGAAATAAGAAGATTAGGGTGCCATTTATCAATTATTATAGGATAAAGTGCAAATCACAAAAGAACGCACATGCTAAGGGTGCAAAACGCAAAGAACTCCGCATGTGTACAGTACATACAACAAGTAGCAAAATACATCATACACCATATGTCAATTATTTACTCATTTGATGTAAGTATTGAATGCGTGTAAATTTATACCAACATATATATTCTCATAATGTAAAGATTGATTTATAATTTCCTCTTTTCTTCCCTGATCCTTTATGTAATGGGAAAAAAGATTGAAAAGATAATACTAGTAGATCTTTAACTTTTCTTTTGTCTCTTGCATTTTTTCGTAAAATTATAGTCATAATGTAGCCATGCTGGCCTTGTTTGTAATTTAATTAGCCAATATTATTGTGATAATCTTTTTTGTTCTTGTACTATTTTTGACTATTCAAAACTAATTTCACAATATTTTTATAAGATATATTTTAATTTGAATTTCTTATTGAGTACAAATTAACGACAGATTTGTACATGAATATTTTTATTGATAACAAGATCAAGAAAGGTATGATGAACATATTAAAAAGGTTCAAATAAGAAAGCATCAGAACTGGAACTCTTTATTAAGCTATTAGCTGCATGTATTTCCAATACAATGTACTATCCCCTGTTTGTAGATTTAATCATCCTCTATTCACAATTCATTACGTCTAACTAATCTGATTTCGTATTAGATTTTCCCTTTAACGGGGTAAAGCACCTCAAATCCCGTAAATCGTTAAAAAACAAGTGAATATAATACTTTAAATCTTTAATACCACCAATTCTTATATCGTATGTTTATTTAAGATAATCTTCAGACTAATAATTATTATAAAGGGAATAAAATATTTTGTGTGCGTTAAGAACATAGACATCCTAAGTTACGTAGAATTAGAGGTGGAACTACAACTTTATGAGTTTTAAATTTTAGAACGATGACTTAGTACTAATAATTGAATTTTAAATTTAATATATGTACATATAATTTACTAAATTTTTTAACATAAATATACTAATTAAACAAAAGCTAAGGGGTTTGGCCGAACCCGTATCTGGTCTTCTACCTCCCTAAATTATTTTTTTTTTTTTGGGCACATTGATAGTAGATCGTGATGCAATAATAACCACTACAGCTTTGGTAAATGGTTCATGTCATTGGCTGATTCGTGGATTCTAGCCAATTGCTAACTTTTTATCTTCGAATTGTTAATTCGTATTTTTATAATATATACTTTATAACTGCCATAAGAGTTCAGTACGATGGTTTAATATAATAAACTCTCCATTAGCATATAAAATAGTATGGTTAGTGGAGAAGTTCTCAACTTGCCATCACCTTGTCTCCAGCCCCTTTTAAAGAGGAAGAAAATAAAAAGAAATTAAACAACAGAGCAAGAAGAGGGAGAAAGAAAAACTGGAGCACAAGAAGGAAAATGATGTGAAATAAAGGAAGAAAAACTAGTTGGATTTTCAAAAATCCAATTAATTAAGGTAAATACATTCATGATTTTCTCTTAGTTAGTTTTAAATTTTTTAATGTATTTTGGAGTAAATATAATGTGATTTGTAGTTTTTCTTTTCTTTCTGTTTTCCGAGGAAAAAGTCATAAACTCGGGTTTAATTCATTTTCCTTAACTTTCCAATCTATTTCCTCTTAAGAAAACAAAAATATCAACTTGATTATTTTCATTCTGTGGTATTCTTTGAGTTTATTGAAATTTAATAATGAATTCTTGAAATCTAATAGCTCTTCATACCGAGTTTGCACGTGGAAACTAGTTCTGTTTGTCTTCTGATTTTGAGTTTAGGTTCTATACATTCACAATTAGGTAAGCTAATTATAAGTAAATCTTTATGATAAATATTGATTCGTAACCTAGTAGAATGGAAACTAATTAACCTGCTAAGTATATATAACTTAAATACTTTGATTCTGTCATATTAGGTGTTTTTACTCGTTATTCGGTTTCTGTGTGATTAATTACTGCAATTACTTTAAAGAGAAAAGTTGTGTCATATTACTCTTAGCCATCACTTCCTCCAAAAGATATTAAAGGGTGTAGAAAACAAGGGCTGGTATATGCACTAATATGTTAAATACCTGTTTGTTTCAAACACAATATTCGAAGAAGATTTAGAGCAACGGTAAAGTTGTGTCAATGTGGATTCTTACATTATGGTACCCTATATCATATACGATCCCTTGACCGGGGTGCGGCGCGTACTCGAATCCTCATGATCTAGGCGGGATGCTTCGTACGCCAGAATTCAAACATAATACTGAAATGGTCTATTCCTCCAATTTTTGGGCACACTTTATAGTAGCCGGTTTTCCTCAAAGATAGTGAAAAGGAAGAGATACTGTGTCTCATCTTTGAAGTTCAATTCTTGAGGCTATATCTTGTTTCACACGGTTTTGCTATTTTAATTTTTTTAAAGGAAATGTTTATCTTCTTATCAATGATCCATGTTGCTGATCAATTTTACTTTTTAAGTAATAATTGTTTGTTCCTATTTAAGGCTAACTGCAGATGATTTAAAGCTCTGAATGTCTTAAGAGGATGTTGAACTTAAACAGAAGAGAATCTGAAGAAGAAAAGATAAACTTGGATCATCATCCTGCTAACTATGATCTTGATGAGAAATCTGATCTCAAATATGTTGATTGGGTCACTTTCAAGAGCCATTCCTCCAAAAAAGTTAGAATCTCTCTACCCAAATCCTCGAGAGCTGAAAATTCTAGTAGAGAACCTCAGGATGCAGATTATCCCTCTCTCAACTATCAGGTCGAGGGCTTGATTCTAGCCAGGTTTCCGAGGTGGGAATATTGGAAACTTTGCCTCGTAAACAAGAGATGTTCGATGCTTCTAAAGAGCGGTGAGATATTTGAGATTCGTAAAGAGATTGGATTTAAAGAACCTTCAGTATTCATGTTGGCAAGTGGGGAGACTAACTGGTGGGCGTTTGATCGAGAGTTCAAGTACCGGAGGAAATTGCCCGATTTACCATCAGATGAGTGCTTCCCATTTAGTGATAAGGAATCACTTTGTGTAGGCACACATTTGCTTGTTTCGGGCAGGGAAATCGATGGTCTCGTTATTTGGAGGTTCGAATTAGCAACAAATAGTTGGCACAAAGGTCCCTCTATGGTTAATCCGAGGTGTTTATTTGCATCAGCAACTTGTGGTACCACTGCTTTTGTTGCTGGTGGTGTTGGTATTATGCCGAATAGTGAGGTCTATGACACGGCTGAGAGATACAACCCCGATAGTAGATTGTGGGAGCCACTACCGAGGATGAAGAGGAATAGAAAACTTTGTTCAGGATGCTACATGGACAACAGATTCTACGTGATCGGGGGAAGGAATAAGAACGGTGAGTTAACGTGTGGAGAATTCTTCGACGAGGCTAAGAACAAATGGGAGCTGATTCCGGACATGTTGAAGGATGATCCGGTACAGGACTACCATTCACCGCCCCTCCTTGCTGTCGTGAATAACGAGCTATACTCGCTCGAGGCTTCTTCGAATCAGCTTAAGGTTTACTTGAAAAAAACCAACACTTGGAAACAGTTAGGGCCAGTTCCAGTACGAGCTGATTCAAACAGGGGATGGGGCATTGCATTCAAGTCACTGGGGAATGAACTTCTAGTAATAGGAGCTGCTTTAACATCAGTGTCTTATTCTGGTAATTCCATGGCTATATATACTTGCTGTCCTGATCCTGAGGCAATGGAGTTGCAGTGGAAACCACTTGACAGTGGTCGAAATCGACTTAGTAGTTTTATCTTAAACTGTTCAGTCATGGTAGCTTGAATAATACAACCCTTTATATTATGATCAAGATATAAGTGGCAATGCCACTGGTTTCTTATATTTGCTTGCATATATTCACTAGTGCTTGTGCTCTGTTTATAATGCTTTGGGATACTACTTGCTTTGTTTTATGTAATTTGCAATTATGTTGCATGATTATGATTTTTATGGAGGGTGTTATACTAATTCTTTAGTGTAAGATAATCCTTTTTCTGTTTAAGAAATGAGGTTTTGATCCACCTTTTAAAGTGATAAAGAGATTCTCTAGTGGTAAATTCTTATTTCTGGTGTATTTCTTCAAAGAAGTTTATCAACCCCTTTTTGAGCAACAGTTTATACCCTATATTCTCAGTAATAACGATACATCACAGAATCCGAATTATATACTCCTCCGTTTCAATTGATGTGAACATATTTGCTTGGACACGAAATTTAAGAAAAAAATGAAGACTTTTAGAATTTTTGGTCCTAAACAATTCAAAAGTATTTGTGTGATTATAAAAGCTTCTAATTAAGGGTAAAATCGTAAGTTTAAGCAAAATTATTTTCAAATTTAGAAAGGGGTCATTTTTTTTGGAATAGACCAAAAAGGAAATAGGTTTACATAAACTCGAACGGAGGTTGTACTATTTAGTAACCTTACTCAATTTTTGTTGAGTTAAACATCATCCTCTTGACCATGCTTGTAATTGGTTCAACTTTTTTGTTTTTTTCTTGCATAATCATCTTGTATCCGTAACCGCTACGCTAATCTGATTTATTCAAATTTGTATATGACCCATTTAAAAAGGAGCGCTTCCTGCCAAAAGAATGATGGTTTCCTTCTTTGATGAGTCTATTGTCATCCCTAAAGCAAAGAACTCCCATTTTAATCTGTAAATGAAAAAGGTAGAAAATGAGTCTATTGCTGGCTATTTGAGCGAAGATCAGTGGGAAACATTTTTGAATATGACCATTATATATATTATGAGATTCCGACTAATCTACTTTGAGCACCAAATTATTTGATTTTCTTGCTTTCAGCAATTCATTTCAAGCATTTTTTTTCTGATCTATATTCAAAAAATATAAAAATTCTATATTCGCAATCGAGGTTTGCGAACGAAGAACTTCTGGGTGGAGAGCATGAAATTCATCGGATATTCTTTTTAAGAAGTAACTTTTAACTTTGTTTATCCTCAAAATCGGATAACAATTGAATTTATAAGTGGTTTTAAGGATACATGATTTAATTTGATACTGAACGACAAATCAGATTGCAATTGAAATAAGTAATGGAAAAGTAAATGCTAACCGCACAAGTTGAACAGTCTTAGCCTGAAAAAGTTTGTCACCCTCGAGCCAAAAATGCTTTTATTGATATCAGAACAGAAACAACAAGAGAGTAACAAGAACTTGACGAGAATAATAATATATTGTTTTGTGATGCGTGTTACAATATATTTTACAAGTATTCAGACCCCTTTATATAGTAGGGGAGTCATAATTTAGGTAAAATTCTATAAAAGGTTAAAATCTCCTGGTTTGCTGATTTGTTGGTTCTTTATTGATACGTACCGAGATTCCCGCTGAAATATCCGACCGGTTACGGATATGTCAGCCTTCTGTTATTTCGGTCTTCTGTTTGTTATACCGGCAATGTTTCCTCAAGCTTATTCGGGGTAAGGGTCGATTCTGGGATCATGTGCTCAATGTTCTCTAGGAACAACATTCTAACTTCGTGTTCTGGTTCGATGAGACTCGGGATCGACCTTCAACCCTTCGCGGTCCGAGCCCCGATCTGTCGTGCAATAGTCGAGCCCGATTTCGACCGTATACAGATAGTCCCCTCGTTTTTCGGAGCGTAAATGACGAGAAACGATATAAGCTTCCGATTCTCACCTCGGTACTCTACGTCAGAAATGACAAAATGAACGAAACGTCTCGTCAATCACGTCTTAATGGCATTAAATGCGTCAGTTGCTGGTCGGCCACTCTGGCTTTGAACCGTCGTTTGGAAATTATAAATATCCCCTTTTTCATTCATTCAAACTTTACATCCAAATCTTCTCTACTCCTGTTTCTTAGAAATTCCAACACTTCCCAGCATTAAATTTCTGGCTATTCTGAAATCCTTTTACAAGAACTTTAGCTCTATTTTTATCCCCAACCATCAAGCTTAATCTTTAAACTCACTCTCTTTTCTTCATCTATCAAAGAAATGGCGAAGACTTCAAAATCTATTCCCTAAAAAGAAACTCCTTCTGCCTCGCGATCGGCTGTAGAGGCAAACGTTTCGTCTGCTGCTACAGAGGAACGGGTACCGGAACCTCCTCTAAAAATGTTTATCCCTAGAGGGTGCCTGATCGGTGCTGATTTCAAGAACGAGAAGCCCTCCTCGGTACCGGGTCAGTGTGTGCCGGTCTCGAGATATATTTGCTCAATCACCAAGGACGTCCTTTCCGAGGTCAAGAAAGATGGCAACTGGGCTAATAAGCACGTAGTGGTCCCCAAGCCCGAGGAAGCTATTACTACCCACGTAGATGGATATTTAAGTGTTTACAATTATCCCTTCACGCTGGGTCCCTTGAACCCGGTCATTATTGCCTTCTGTAAGAGGTACGAGGTGACCCTTGGTCAAATTCACCCTTCTTTTTGGAAGATAGTAGTTCTCCTTCATTTTTTCGTAAGTAAGATGGAGGGGTATCCCTTCACCCTCGACCATCTCATGCGCTTATATAGTCCCCGACTTTATCGAGGGACTAATCAAGCTTGCTAGTCGGGTTAGTAAGGACCCGTTCTCGAGCATCAATGAAGATCGGGATCGAGACTGATTAGGTCGCTTTGTCCGAGTGAAGACCTCAGATTTGATCCCAGTCGAGCATATGCCATTTCCTGAGAAGTGAAACAAGACTCGTAAGTATAATCTTGCTTTTAAGATTTTGTTCATCGCTTTTCCTATTCCTCCCTTCTCATCAATGTTTTGTGGTGGTGCAGTTGTTGCTCGGATGCCGGATGCAGTTTCTCGATTCAAGAAATGGGTCGAGGGCACTGTGTTGCAAAACCATATTCCGAACGCGCATGGCGTGAGCTTTCAAAGGGCCGTTGGGAGGCCCGTTCTCATGGTGAGATTCCTTCTTGAGTGGACAACACTTAGGTTTCCTTTGTGCTGTTGCGCCCTTACTCATTTAGTTTCTCTATGCAGGTCTTTCCAAGGATGTCGCAATGAGGCCTCCATCCGATGATGACGATATCCTCACCGAACCATCTTCTTCGGGGCAGGATAAAGAGAAGAAAAGAAAAAGGGCTCCGAGTTCTCCGAGCTCCGAGATGAAGAATCCAAGGAAACGATTGGCACGTAAACCCAAGGAAAGCACCAGTGTTCGAGTATTGTCTCCAGACTCACTGTATCGATTGAGGGATGAGTCCGAGGGGGGAAGGAGAAGCCTTCGATCTGGTGGCCAGCGAGCCACAGCAGTCAAAGGGCAAGAGGCCTCCGAACTAGAGGGAGGCGAGGCCGATCTTCATCTCGTCGGGGAGGCTGAGAAGGAGGTAGGAACTGAAGCTTCCCGGGATGCGGGCAAAGCCCCGCATGAAGCACTTGGCCCGATAGAGATTGCTGAGTCACCCTCTTTCATAGAGTCGATGTTCAACGATGCCCAAGGTGCAAAAGAACGCCCTATCGAGGGGGCCCATAGAGAGAACGATCCCTTTTGCGGTTTTTTCGACAGAGGACGCCAACAGATTTGGCGATTTAGAGATACTGAGGAAGAGCTCACCCTTTGAAGCAAGAGGGCCTTTCGTGAGCCCGAAATTGGTCGATCCATTTCCTACCCCAAGTGCTAATTTTGATCGGAAGCGATCCATTGTTATCTCTCTTCCGGAGGATGCCCGAGTTCTCTCCGCCCCCGTAGGGGTAACCAGTTATCTTTGGTGTTTGGTGATCGAGGATGATCAAGCCAAGATGAATGAGGTGGATGCACTTTGCCTTTCAAACAAAGGAAACAGGCGCTGAACCGGGTAATTTCATGCTTTACTAAGTGATTTTTTTGATTTACACTTAGATTATTTCGTAGATAACTTAGTGTTTATTTTTGTGCTCGTAGGCCTCGGTGCTTCATCATGGGACCTTTTTAAGGTACCAGGACGATCTGAAGCAACTCGAAGTTAAAGTTTGTGAGCTCACTGAGAAGAGAGACGCCTTTAAACTTCTTAGCGAGCAGTTCGAAGGGGAGGTTAAGAACCTACGTGCTGAGTTGGAAGTTGCTTGGAAGAAACATGCTGATTTGGTCGAGCGGGTAAAAGTTTTTGAAGTTAGTGACGATGAATTTGATTCGGTGACTGATGGTCAAAATTCACAGGTCCAGCAAAAACTTGATCGGATTGACCAACTTCGAGCTGAAATGGATATAGTTAAAGCTGAGACTGATGAATGGAGAGGCCGAATGGATAATCTGTCCTTGGAAAAAGAGGTTGTTCGGGCATAACTAACTTCGGCTGAAATCCAACTTAGAGAAACAAAGGATAGGGCCGAGATTCAGATGAAAAAGGTTGAGGAGCTCTAATCCCGGTTTGCTTTGGCTGTCTCAGATCGAGAAAGTCTGGCCAAGGAGCTTAAAACGGCCAGGTTAGAGGTCGTCATGATCAAAGCCGAAGTTGATGAAATGGTGTCCCCGTACAAGGCCGATACCGAGGTGACTCAGAACCTTATAAAAAATATAGTAGAGCATGTGAAGTGGCTATCCCGAAGGGAGGCCCTCTAGGAAGTTCACGCTTGAGGTTTTGATTTATCGGCTAAGATCAAGAACGCCAAGGTGCTCGAAGCCGAGGCTAGGAATTTGGCTTATCCCGAGGAGGAAGATTCTGAGGAGTCTGAAGATTTGGGTGAATCCGAGGGTGGCAGAGGCCCCGAAGGTGATGATGCGGCCCCCGACGAAGACTAGGCCACTTAGGACTCTTTTAGATGTTTTTGTTTTATGATTTTTGTATCACCCTTTTGTTGAGGACGTTCGGCCTTTGTAAAAATTTTCATCGGGGCTGTTTCGCCTTTGTAAAAAGAAGTTTTGATATGTATATAAGGCTTTTTCCCTTCAACAACTTTTGAATTTTCCCTTTGCTTTATTATTTATATTCGCAAAGATCGAAATTCCTTAGCATGAAATAGTTAGGTTATGTTCTCAAACAAACCTTGCC